AACTTAAAGCAGGGACTAAAGAAGGGAAAAAAAAAATTGTTCAGCTTTTACAAATACAAAATAATATCATTCAAAACATATTGTGAAATGTTTTAATAAGTTACACAGATGATGGTGGTTCCATAGTTAATTCAGGGAATTACACACAAAACCAATAACCTAAGTTCGTGATTATATAGTGTTATCGGAAGACTCGATTAGAATACTAACATGAATAGAGCAAACGACGATCAAACAATTATTGAAATTCGAAGACTTTGAAATTGAGATTTGTAGTATCACAATTTAACTAAGGAAACCAGAGAAAAATGTAGACAGAAATGTCTACAAAGCAAAAAAAAGTCTAGATTGTATTAGAAATTAAGTGACTTGTAAATAAACCAAAATAACAACTATTGTAAAGCTAATTGAAACAAAAATAATTATTTCAAGAGCATTAAAAGAGCAAGGCTCATTAAAATTCGGCTCGAAAAATATTTTACCAAATGTTGAAAGAAAAGCCTAGTATCGATATCGACAGAGCTGCGTTTAAAAATATGTATTTATATAAATTGATATTGTTAGTTATTAGTGAAATGAATTCAATAAGATACTTATGTTAAGACACAAAAAATATTTATGATGCTTAATATAAAAAATTAAGAAAAACAATGTTTCATTTTGTTCATAACAGAATGTTTTTTGTAACATATTTTTAAAAATTATAAAAATTCCGTAAAAAATTTAAATTGTCTGACGAAATACTTGAAATTACTTTAAGGACTATTAACGTACCATCACTGATTACAGCTTCAATTACTGGACAGGTTGATGTTTCTACAAACAATGTAGTTCTCGTACGGATTTAGGAAAGTATATAAATAGTTTTTACAATAGAATTCAGAGATCATGTATTAAATCTGCAATATTTATTTGAAAAATAAAAAACTTTTCAATATAGCTTGTGCAGCTTAGCGCGAACTATGAGTCTCAATTAGTCCATAAACAAGTCGTACACTGAACGAATGTGAAACCGTTTTCGTTTCCGGATAAGAACTTTCTTGAGAATATTCGCTTTCTGCAAAATATTCTATACTAAAAAGGCATGATACAAACCATTTGGTGATCATGGGTGCTATTGTGTTATCGAAATATATTACAGACGTTGCCTCTCAGCCTTTAATTTTTAGTGAGAACATAGTGTGTCAATGAAAAGTCTCTTTAAAACGAGAAATCTTGTCAATTTTGGAAATTACAAAGTTTATTTAGAGCTCGTTTTTAAGTATTTCTTACTAATATTCGATAAATTCGGATTAACAGTTATTTTTCTTTTACTGTGACATGGACTTTATTTAATCTGAACATTAATTTCCGCAATCATTTATCGTATACGCAGTTTTTTCCTCAATCCTACAGTGTTTTGTAATACTAATCGTTTCTTTTTAGTTGTATCCATCATGGATAATTCTTTTGCTATAAAACTAATCTGCAGATAATTTCAGACACTTGAAAATAAATGTAGAATAATTATTCTCAAGCTATTTCCTTTAGTTTTCCGTAAGTAAATGCTTGCACTTGGCGCCAATAAACCACAAAATAGTCACTTCGCGCTTCGTCTCAGTTCTATATCATCTTTTCTAATGACAAGTCATCATTTCACTTTATCTGGTAACTCTTAGGGACATGTTATGATTGTAGTCACGTTACGGCAATCAATATATGATATAAGGACACATTGTTATCTCTAGAACGAAAGTTAACGCAGAATTGGTTTCAGTCCAATTGTACGGTAATGTGAACCAAAAAAGATGTCCTCTACATCACAAATTGTTTTTAAATCTTAATCTATTCTTTTAAAAATTTAGAACTCTAAAAGTACTCCTTATAATTAAGGAGTTCAAAAAGATTTTTCTTACATATCTTGTTGCGGAATATACGTATATACATACATATATTACTTTTACGCAAGACATCAGTATTTACATGTGTTCTACGAACTATGAAAAGTGTGCCAAACATAATATTATTTTTTATTATAAATTTACATGCGTCTTAAAGCGATTAATTGACAATTTAACCTTCTGAGTCCTCATATCACTTTGCGACCCCTGTTTTGAAAAACGAACGCAATCATTTGTTTATACAAAATGGCAGCATCTGTTTGCATTAATTTCTTTAATTGATAACAGTGCGCATGGGCACGCACTCACGCACGTTGGCACGCTACGCCATTATCAATTTGTATCTACATTCAACAATGATACATACATATGTAGATATGTTAATATGTATCTTCTCGAATTTCGGTACAAGTATATGTCTGTATCTAATTTCATTCATTCAAAAATGTAAAAGTGCATGTCTTATCTAATGTTTTAGTGCAACGCCATAAAAACAATTATGAGCCATGCGCTAAACTCGAACCCAACCGTAACAACAACAACAACAACAGCAGCAACAACAAAACAATCAAAATATTATATGCAGACAATTTCGTGGAGTTAAAAATTAATGAAAACGTTGGCACTCCAAGCCAAGTGCAGCCAACTGAAACGAAGCGCGAAGTGACTATTTTGTGGTTTATTGGCGCCAAGTGCAAGCATTTACTTACCGAAAACTAAAGGAAATAGCTTGAGAATAATTATTGTACATTTATGAAAACTAATAGAGTTATTACTAATATCGCATCAGAGAAACGTATTAATTTTTATACACAATTATTCCAGTGCTCCACTTTATTTTGATTGCACAGTTACCGACTACATATTTTTAAATGTATTACGTGTTGCACTGTAATAAATAATTAAAGTTGTGATATATAAATCAAAGACTAAGTCTATTTTACTTACTTACTTAATTAGTTGGTCATTACAGATCTAAATCGTCTTTGACCTCGTCCAGAAGCCAGTTCGATCAGTGGCTTGTTCCAATCACTGTTGGTAGTAGCAAATATTTAAATACCGCTGATTCCACCGAATATACCGTGTTTTCTACTATCTGTTGTATAATCAAACACCTTTCTAGCCGGAACATTCTCTTTCATTTACACGACATTATACCAGTTCATCTTACCATCTAATTCGATACTCGTTGCCAATGCGTAAGGGATTATAGATTTTCCAAAGAATTTTTCTCTCGAATACTTCTAATGTCTTCTAATCACTGTTGGTAATTGTCCAAGCTTCTGCGCCTTACAGAAGGACATACATGATGATATTTGTAGAGTTTGATTTTTGTTTTACAAGAGAGAACTTTATTTCTCAGTTGCCTAAATCACTCGAAGTTACATCTGGCAACAGTGATTCTTCGTTGAATTTTTAGGCTAAAATCATTTTTGGTATTTACAATAGTTCCCAAATAAGTAAATTCTTTCACGACTTTAAATTTATAGTTGATAACAGTGACGTGGGTCCAAAGGTTCTGGAAATTTGCACGTTACTCCTTGCGTTTCTTCTTAGTGAACTATTTGATCGAAGTCAATACTTCGTTATTTTTTTAGAAGTATTAAGTATTAGTATTTTATTTAAAAACTTATGAATATGTTCTCCTTTTTGATGTTAATTTTTTCTTCTATATCATCTTTTCTAATGACAAGTCATCATTTTATCTTATCTGGTAACTCTTAGGGACATGTTATGATTGTAGTCACGTTACGGCAATTGTTGTTACTGCCAATGCAAAATAAAGTAAGCTGTCAATGTCAAATTGTTAGCTCCCAACGGTGCGGAGCAGTGCGACTATGGTTGATCTTTTGTGCTGCAACAGACCCGTTGAGAACCTCCTAATGCCAAAAAGGAACAGTAATGACTGTAACAATCTATCTCTTCGAACAGATCCATTTTGTTGAGGTGATAACGCAATCCATGGTATAAAGTATGGATAATTATTGTATGTTTTAAAATTATTAAGAAAGAATGCTACTACTGCTTACTATAAAAAATTCTTATAAAAATTCTATGAAGTTTTATTTAGACCATTCATTATGAAATGTTCATTTATCACACATGTATTTTTCATAATTATATTTATTGCTATGTCATGTCATAAAAGTCAGGTGAATTCTCAATTTAAACGATTGATTAAACTTTATTTGCTCACATTCGAATAATTTGCCTTCTGTCACTCTGTTATTTTCGCTGACTAAAAATAAGTCAGTAAATTAAGAAATGAACGCGAATAAATACGGAAATTTTTAATATAGCAAAACCAAATAAGCAACAAGAATAACAACAACAACCGCGGTGGGTATATGTAAATAATTAAAAAGTAACAAAATAATTCTTGCAAAAACGCAAAGTTTCACAAAGATTTTTAGGTGCGCAGAGTATTGGAATCTTCGGATGCGTCAATTTTTGTTATTTGTTGTGATTTTTAACGTTGGTCTTGATTTAAAAATATCACATATGTATTTCCTTAGCAAATTACCTCAAGGTGAGTTGTGGGTGATCAAACATTGAAAGAAAGAAGAAGTGTGTGTGGATATGCGTGGATACGAGTAAGTGAGTGCAAGGGTGAGTGTAAACGTGAGTGTGATTAAGCAAACAAGTATCAGAGTGTAGCCGTCATGTTCACTCGTTGTTGCGTATTTGGATAAGTTTTGTGAATTGCTGCGGGTCGCTGGTATCG